CTTGTGATCCAGATGAATACCAATATATCTTGTAAAGTTTATCCTTCTTAGACTGAATTTCAGAGAAGAATAACATTTTGGGTCCAGTCTTTTACCACATCTCTGAAACCTAATATTCCTTGCTGAAGCCTACAGATTTTCAGCTGTCACTTTTATATTAACTCCTGTGAGTTCAGCAGCAGTTGTACGCTTAATAGTACCCTTTCATCCTGCATTGGTCAGGAGCTGAAGACTACAAATATCTAGCTCTTTATAGCTATGTGTCCAGTCTCACTTCAGATATGCCCAGTGGGCTGGATCACCCACCTGCAGAGTAGAAACAGTAGGATGAATTTTTGACAATTTTTGTTCTACTGAAATGGGAAGGAGAGAAGAGATATGGTTTCCACACGTTCAGGCACAGGCATTAACCTAGTGTGCCCATAATTACTGTCACTCAGGTACACACCTGAGGTTCCTTAGCAGATAAGGAAAACACTCTAGTTCTATTATCTTTCCTCTGGTGTCTTTGTGCTGTTGTGAGAAAGGAAAAATGCACCCAATATTTTCTGTAATGCAGTAGCCTGTACTGCTGTAGCCTGCTTACAGTTCTTTGCATTTGCACAATCTCCAATTTAGAGACTAGGAGGAAATAAATTGTACTATTTAGGTAACAGCATCATGTAGTATGGAGTGAATTTTCTCTAAAATCTAAGAGACAGGAGGATGATTGCTTAGAAAGAGTAAAAAGCCTCCATAAATCAATAAGAAAAAAAAAAGGCCATTGTTTAATTTATTACAAGAGACAATAAGCATCAAAATAAAATTATGAGGTGAGCAGGTGCTTTCTCCATTACATATGTTGTTTTTTGTAGTATATTTCCTCTTTTGTAATTGAGTTAATATTTTCATTATTTGAAAATTCAGGAATATTGAAAGTTACATAAAGTTATAATTGTAATATATGAGTAAATGGATGCTGTGGGATAAAAGTTAAACTTAAAAATGAGAGAGACAAAAAGTTCTAGCACATGAAATAAAAACATTTATTTTCTGGGAGCCAGGCCACAGAAATAAATATGTATTTAGCTGACCTTTTTTTGTATCTTATTCAAGCAGAATAAAACTAAAATTATCTCACATGCCTATAGGCTGCCCTGGTGTAAGACATAGAAGTGTAGAATGGATTATTTCATATGTGCATTTTCATTTGACTCCTTTCTAAGATACAAAAGCAGCTCATTCTAGTTTTTGAGAAATCATTTGGTAAAATAAATATTTTAAAAATGAAAGATATTTCCACTTAAATATTTTTCAGACACTTCATGACATAAGTGAAATACTTTAACCAGGGGAAAATCCAGCTGCTTAGACTGACCTTGGAAAAAACATTACTGGCTAAAATTAAAAAATTTTGGATCTGCAAGATCAGATACAATTTAAAGAAATTGTGAGATAAATGGGCCTTGTAAATTCATAAATGTACAGTGTCCTACTTGGCACTCAGTACAAAACCCAGCAATGTTCATCACTTTAAAAAGAAACATCTAGAAGTGTGGTTGCTGTCATTTTGCTCCTGCAACAACTTTGTTTTTTATAACACAGCCTGATGATCAGATCATTTACTCACAACATGAGAGGACTGTGTTCTTAGTTTTCAAACCCCACGTCCTCCACTTCTTTAGACAGTGCACAGACCACCAGGGTTAGTGCTTTGATCCCCCTGTTCAAGTTGTCTCACTGTGCACTGAAAAATATAAGCCAGACAGCCACAGAAGAGTATGACATCGTGGCCTAGAAATTAGAGATTCTTGGATGGATTGAGTCTCTCAGGGTTGTGTCAGTTCTAAGCTCAGGAAACTTGATATGAAGCCTGGGAAAATGCTAAATGCACTCATCCTCCTTTTTTCATCTTTAATTTTAAAGAGAACTGGATGCCTGTTCTTAGACAATGACTCTGGATTTTGATGTTTCTGCTCACCTTTTTCTAAGATTTGGAAATCGTTCAGAGTTCAGACTTGTAAAATACTTTTTTTTTAACCTAGTTACTCTTCTGTCCAGCATGCAGATACTTTTTGGAACTCCTACAAGGTATCTATTTCCCTTCCTCTGCTTCCTCTATAGGGAAACAGTTTGGGCAGGTAAATTCCTGCTCTGGAAGGTCTAGGAGCTTGGAAATTACAGCACTATGCCTATCTTCTTTGGATTTATCCCAAAGTCATTTCAGGGAACTGCTGTCTTGTTCTGGAAAACCTAACTGGTTATTCTATCAGACATGCAGGCATACTCAGAGCTCCCATTTGCTGCAAGATTTTCTGCCTCAGGCCAGCTACTTTGCCCAGTCTCCATTTTTCAATGTCTGGAGTTACAGTTAAAATAGAATTGGACAAAGCGATATGGAGAAAGCTTTATTACTTGTAATTTCTTTATGAAATAAAATTTGATCTTTCTTTGTAAGTAGAAGACTTTGAAGCCCTCATTTGTATTTTGTTCAGCTCATCTTTTGTGAACATTGCCTCTCTCTAGTATGTGAATGTGCAGCAGAGAATTTACTCCCACTGAACTGAATGATTAAGTCTTCAGTGAAAAATGTTCTGCTGGAAAATACAGTAGAACATCTACAGTGCTCTACTCAACTAATAAGTGTTGGTTCCCTGTGGTGCAGTTTGTGGGAATTGTGAACTCCTGCAAGGTTTCTATAAAGCAAAACAGATGCCTGTTTGTTCAAGAATGCTCAGTTGTTGTATGACCTGTCCTCACAAGGGCTGAAAGAGAGAAAAAATACAACTGAGTTTTATGAAGTTGTTAAAGCAACAATTTCATAACTTTTTAATCACTTAAAAAAATATATATATACTTTTGATTGTTCGAACAGTATGATGCTTTCTGTTTGAAGAATAATTGTATATAATTAATACACCTGCCACCTGTATGTACTCTGATACAACTGTCTCATATTAACCATTTATTTAGTCACATTAGTGATAAAAGTGACATAGGTTATTAGTAGGATTACCCGCTTGGGTTGACTGCAGAGTTTTGCTTAAATGCTGAATATATAATATTGTCCTAAATTATTTGACATTTGCAGCAAGTAGCTATCTCTAAATTTTAGTAAAGAAAATTTATGCTGTCATATTCAGCCATTGCCCTCATATTGAAAGCCTGCTTTATAATATTGCCATCTCTCCACTGTAATGAAAGGCAGATCTGGCTTTCATACTCACCCTGCAATTTTTTGTAAAAGCATACCATTATCCATACAACAAGCAGTTCTGACATACTGACTGATCTATTATTACTTCCCCCTTCTCTTAGATGCTACTTTGTTTGAGTAAAAGTAGAAAAAACCACAAGAAATACTTTATTCAAATTATGTATGTTGTTTCTGATCTATAATATATTCCAAATAATCCAGTATGTTCATTCTATATGCAGAACACTATTTTCTGAAATATTTTACTTATTGATCCTAAAACTGTAAATCTAGATCTGACATTAAGATGGGTACTTATTATTTGTTTTTCTCCTGCCATTAATTATCACAAAATTCAGATTGCTGGAATCTTTCAAAGAATGCTTTATTTTATTTTTGTTCTTCACATCGTTAGGAGGATTTTTTTGCTAGGAATCTATATTGCAATTCCTAAATACTTCATATCACAAGGAAAATGAGAATTTAATGCATGTCTGTGCCTTCCTCCTCACACAGCCTGTGTTAGCTCAGGCCATAGTTTCTTTTTGTCTATGTGTATGTGTACTTTGAAATGGCATAGCTGTTGTACGCTTTCCATCCTCTTTTATGTTCTAAGAGAGATATCAAGGGAGATGATAAGTACAATATATGATGTGTTGAATTAACAAATGCTAGTTTTATTTCTCATAAAAAGTACTGCTGTTAGCTGAAAGATAATTCTACAGAGTCTGGCTTGCCTAAGTTGGTTTTACCTTCTCTGTTCTCCTTAGGATATTTGTGTATAATGTAAATATGGCTTTATGAAGAGATTATTTAAAACACATGGAGTTCTAATTTTGCTTCTTCCACTGAAATTCTAGTGTCACACCAGGTTCGATCAAACTGTCAGACATCTGCGCTGGAAAGCTACTGGGTCTTCTTTTCGTTCTGTGTTTTGCTGTATGTTTTCAGTGTCAAGCTACCTGTGCTACTACAAATTCCTTTAAGTCCAGAGTCTTCGGAAGATGTTAGAAATTTTTCCAGTGTTATGGTTGATAGTCAGATCATGCTCAGGTTTTTTCCCTAGCTAGATGATATCTTGTATGGACTTCTTCCTCCTCATAATGCAAGGGCTCTATAGCCCTTCTGAAGATTTTCTGGGAGGTGTTCCACTGATCCAAGGCGGTGCCCCAGGTGAGGGGTGAGGGCTGTGTAAGTGACATACCCTATGTAGGTACATGGGCATATAAATATATATGCTTTGCAAACTTTTACAGTTGTCTCTTGTAGTAAATCCTTTCCCTAATCCCTTCTAGGATGATTAGGTAAAAACTACAGATATGTAGCTATAACATGTAGGCATGCTAAACAGCTAGGGCAGGAGTCTGAAGAGCAGGGACTCAGTATATATCATTTTGTTTCCAGCTTTTAAGGACACCAAGTTGTTATTGATTTCAGGATATTCACATAAATCACTTTCTTAATTTATTCTCATTTTTTCTTTATGCTCTCCCGTATTACTGTCCCCCTGTATGTATGAATAGAGGGAAGCCTTAATGTTGAATCCCCATATGCATAAATTTTGCATAAAGGTAAACTGGCACTGGCTACTTAAGTTTAGTAGCAACTTTAGATTTACACAAAACCGTTGATTTTCAGTACAAGTAAGGATGAAAGAATCTCTTCCTTTGAAAATCATCTATGTTTCACAGATTCTTTTGGTAAAATAGAGGATTCTTTTTTGAAAATGTGTTCATGTACCACTACAAGGTGTCTTTCTACCTCCCACATAGCTGTTATAATCCCTACAATGGAATTTAGAGGGTAATACATTACACAAACTTACAGCTTTCCAGCTGCATTATACATGTTTGCACATCCATTGGAAAATTTTTGAGATCCATTGGACAGGACAGAATCAAAGTCAATCTGAAAGAACACAAAAAAAATATTAAAATTATGCCACAAAAGTGCCACAGAACTGCACAGGAAGAATGCAGGAAATCACTGGAAATCATTAGAAATAGAAGAAAAAATATTTTTTTATTAGAAAGCTCTCAAAAGGGATGTATATTAGCTCAATCTCTTTTACCTGCTCAGCCTAGTATGACAATGTGGAAAAGAATTATTATAGACTTTCAGGAAAACAAATTTTTCAGTAGGGTTCCCTAACTTTGAGATCTCTGAAGGAATGCAAGAACAGCATGCTTTTTTGTGCTACAGCAGAATTATTGCACCGTTACAGTATTTCAAATCCTTGACATAAAATTCACCCAGATTTGTAAGAATTTAATAACAGATGTCAGCTACAAATAATGGTGGCAAAGTAATTTACGTGTTATTGTCCTAGAATAAGGTGCTTAAATTGTCAGCACAAAGGTTTAAGATAACATTTTATGACATTGATAGTAGACTGAAATATGCCTGGAATTTTGAACTGCATCTCTGTTTCACATTAGTCCTGATACTTCCTGTGAAATACTTTGTAGCCTATAGGCACAAGAGGTATTTTTACTTTTTATATCAGTATCTTCGCTTTAGAGCGATACTTCTCAGAAGAATGAGAAAAAAGAATGTAAGAGGTAAAGGCACATGTTTTCCTTCACTGGCCGTGTTTAGCCATTCATCATTCAGGGTCATGACTGAACCTTTCTTCTTGCTAGAAAATACCTTGTGTGAAAATTTTGATCCATATTAATTTATCAGCTCAGTTGATAGAATGTTCTCCAAAAATCTGAGGGGCTTGAGTTCAATTCCTTACATATAAGGCTTTTCTAGAATGGCAGTGCTCTAATACGCCTTGCTTAAACCCATTTCCCTGTTTTTGGCACTGGGGCTAAAGGGAAGTGGGCAGTACATGACAAGTATGGCTGTATATTTCTTTTACCCTACTTTTTCCCACTCCAAATCTTCTTGATTCTTGTTGCTGTAACATCTGTTTAGCCTGCCAGTGGCAGAGCTACAGGGGGAGGGTCTGAGGAGGGAGCTCAGACCCAGGTCTTATTCCCACGCTATAAAAAATTGTTCCAAATGCAAAATCTGACTAGTAGGTTAGTAACATGGCAAGTCATTTCAAAGAAGAGGTGCCTGGACTTTACTGAGTTTCAGTAAATATTTTAGTATTTTATATTAAGTATTCAGTGAATCAGGAACTGGTACCAATTATTTTCTTGTCTGAATTGTTCCAATTGTTCCAATGCAATTAGGGGAGGAGGAGACATTAGGGAATGAAGGAAAAAGCAAATTTAGAAATGTACTTTTTTTTTTTTTAGTATCAGCACATTAGCAATTGGCATCAAAAGCTTAACTGACTCAAATTCACATAGCAACTCAACTAGATGCCAATGATCTGATTTTTAAATCTGTTTCAGAAATTGCAATAGTCCTTAAGTAAATCACAGCAACATAAACTTTCTGGCTCCATAAGAAACACAGAAGCTATCTGGCATCTGCTTTCATCACAGTCAATATTTGTTTTTATAATTTAATATTATATTTCTCATGTTGTTGTTTTGTTTTTTTTTTTTTTCTTTCTCTACATTTCATGAGACCATGAACTTGGTCTGAATTTTATTGAAGTTGCAATCCAAACTTGTGTCAGTTGGGTGGTGGTTTCTATTTTCTGTGTTGTATGTATCTGGAGAGCATAGGGCAAGGAGAAGTTATTTGATTAGAGTGGAACAACTGCCAGTGCCTCTCAGGGTGACTCAGTCTGGAGATAATTGATTTAGCTCTACTTTCTACTTGGGTCTGGATAAGGAATCCTTTTTACTTGTCTTCCATCTGTTTCTAGTGACAGAATACACGTGACACTGAAGAAAGATTATGTTCCCAGACTGACAGACTAACCTTCTTATGGATATGAAATGCTCTCAGGAATTTTAACCCAAACCTTTCTCCCTGTGTAAGCTTGACAAGACGCTGCCCACTTGCACTGGAAGGAGGGAGGAAGGACACTCCCTTCCCTTGCCACTGATACATCCACAGAAGTCACAAAATTTTTCTCTTTGTATACAATCTGTTTTACAGATTCCTGATGTTTCTTCAAAAAATCCAATTTCCCATTAATGCAGTGTCATAAAAACATGCAGAGTAAAACATAAAGTGGACAAGAGATATATTTGTTTTGAAAAGTGTAGCATTTTGCACAAGTAGGTCACTATTAATACTGAATCTATATCATGTCTAATGGGGTGTTAGTATACTTCTATCCAATGTGTTTCTCATTAGATCAGGTGTTTGAAGATAACAGTAAAATGCCTACTAATGTCTGTAGAAATAAAAGGAAAGTGCAGAGAAAATAAGTAGGATAACTAGATTTTCTCAATAATAATTGCTTCTTACATCTTAAACCTTCTAAAAAGTTTACTTTCCACTTTTCTCTCCAACTCCAGCAGTAAGTGACCTATTCTTTAAATGATATGCTTCCTCAAACAGGTCATGTTTCCATGATGAAGCACAACTGTAATATCCAAAAAGGTGAAAAAGAAGTAACATCGGATTGTTACATTGGAGAGCACAGCATGTGAAACTCACACGTAGGCCAGCTCAGAATATAATGCTCCAGGATTATTTGCTCTGTGCAACTGTCCTAGGTTCTCTAGGCTCAGGATCTGTACTTTAAAATGGGAAGGATACTTTTCTTATTATTTTTACTATGTGCATGCCTAATGAGGGATCATTTTCTATTCTAGCATTAGCAAAGAACAGTAATGATGATAAAGTTCTGTATTCAAAACTCACAGCTACGTTAGTGATAGTTCTGCATCACTAGCAACTGAAGGTACCCATTAGTAATTCTTAGGTACACTTTTGAGATTTTATCTGAAAAAAAATTCAATTAGAGACTCACCTGATGGAATAAAGTACATTTCCATTTTTGAAAATTCGCAACAACTTATTATCTGTTGTAACTTCATGAAAGTTGGCACCTTTTTCATTAGCAAAGAACAAATCAGGTTTCCAAATTGAATCCAGCATGGATGGATCTAAGTCTAAAGAGTCATCTGGATATTCACTGTATGCGAGGCGTGGATCATTCCAATTCTGACGGAGAAAGATGTTCACTCGGTAATCCTAAATGAAAGAGAAAACAAGCAAAGCTTTATTAAGCATAGGGATTTAGCTTTTATTTCATTTCTTAGCCATGTGATCCCCTGTCCATCTGTGAATGACAGAAGAATTACTCAGCTGAATGCCAGCATGATACCTATTTGCATTAGTGAGGACACAATGGATAAGAATATACATTTCAGGGCAATTGAAAAAATCCCAAGCTAAGGAAATACAACCTCCATTTACAGTTCATGTAACTCCATATAACTCTACCTGTGCAGTATCTTTGTCTTGAAATCAAAATGAGAGATGCAAAAAAAGAATCTTATGGAGTTACCTTCTTCTGCCCAAGTCCTAGCAGGGGCATTCCCACTTCCCTCTTTTAGGCAGTGAGAATCTGTCCCACCATAAGGGAAGTTAAATTCATTTGTTTTTTCTTTCCCTAGTCTTTACATATTTTAGACCTACCTCTTGGACTTTCTGTGCCTCAGCTCCCTATTGAAAATTGTGTGATCAGTAACTTGCCATACAGCTATCTGAGGAGAACACTTTGTTCCTCCTATGTTCAAATATGGTGGAAATCATATAACTCCTTATGATAAATTAGCTTAGGCGCAAGTGGAGTCACCTTAATTCTTATAGACACTCTTGTCTTAATCAAGGGTGCATTTATAGAAAAGACAAGTGGAGTTCTTCAAACTTCTGTAAGTCAGTTTGAAGTTGTATGTACTCTCTGTCAGAGACAATGTTGGATTTATGTCTGGACACTTTCCTAAAACTTTACCACTCTGAAAGATTAAAATATTTGTTTTTAAATAAAAGTGAGTATTATCATCTCATTACATTATATCAAGAACTGAGAGAACTGAGATACTGAGCATAAGGACATAGGGACCATACTTTTATTGGTCATAATGTGATTTGCCTCTTTCCACTACAGCATTAATTAAAGAAGATAAAAATAAGATAGAAACAAAGACATGTTAGGTGCAGTGAGGAAATGGTTGTCAGAGCTTATGTGACACGTATGAATGTAATAGAAGTAAATAAAATGACTTGTTTATTATTTAAAAAAATGGAAATTAATTTTGAATGAAAACTTTTTGAGTCAGAACAGGAGAAGAAGTGTTCAAGGCTGGACAATAAAATTTGGTCAATAACTATGGGTAGTAGGTATTAGTGGTTAAAATAACTAGTTAAAACCCCACTGGTGTAGAAATTGTGGGTACTGTTACAATTCCAGTGTCATAGCAATATTTGGTCTTATGAAACTTGGAACATGCAGCCATACAGTTATGAGAATCGTGCCAACAGACATAATAAAGGGCAACAGGAACCTCAATATGCAACATTTACTCATGAGAAATAGTTTTTTGTATCTTCAGCATCCAACTGTTTTGATCAATTTAATTACTCAACTTGAATAAAGGTAACCAAATATGCTAAAAACATGCTTACCAAGCATTTTTTGCTTGATAATCAGAAAATACTGCATATCATATACAGAAAGTCCCACTAGAGGATTTTATATTCATATAACCTTATACATTTTCAAGACAAAGACAGTAAGTGGAAAAGTACACCCGGAGAATTAAATTAACTCAGATTATTGTTTTCAGCAGACATGAAGAAGGCTCTCTGGCCAAATGGAAGCATAGAACATTAAATGCCAGGTGGAAAGAGCATAGGATTTGTTAGTAATTGCTTTTTAAAAAAAAAAAAAAAGTTAATTGTTTTGTTAACACCCCCTTCAGAAAAGGACTGAAAGAAAATTCCCTTTTTTTTCATCATGGCAAGTGACAGCCTCAAGAGCCATAAAAAGTTCTTAAGAGAAGCTCTTGGTATTTTTCATAATTAGCACCATGGCGTGATGAAGAGACAGGGATTTGTACTTCACAAATGTAGAATCAAGCTGCTTTTTTTTTTTTTTTTTTTTTTTTTTTTTCTATTGTAAGCCAAACCCCTTAGACAAGCTTGTGCCTCAGTGTTCATAGATCTGAGCTTCTGGTGTCTTCCATGCAACAAGAGGACATACTACCCCCTGAAATGCCCTTCGTTCTTTGCATGATATCCCAAATACCATGTAGTACCAGTTCCCCTTCCAAATTCCTGTATACAATCAAAAGGCCAGGAGAAAGCAGGATGTGGAAGCAGTGATAGCTCTGCTGTCTGTACAAACAGGTGGAATCCTTATACTGAAGGAAACATTAGCTCTAAACCTGGGGCACTGGGTGTGAGCATTGCAGCTCTCAGGGCTTCATCTACAGTTCAGCCAAATCCAGGCTTTACCTTTTAATTTGTATAACCTGAAGTACGTCTATTTATTTTACTTTTCTCTGTAAAATATGATGAGTATATGAATGGGATTACTTATAGAGTAAGGGACTTCTCACATGTATAAGACAGAACAGGTGAAAAATGCATAGCAGAAAGTTTAAATGAAAATGGAAAATGAAGACAAATGAAGGAATATGTCTAGGCTATATTAAGTTATTCTGTATGTCAGTTTGCCTAAAGTTTATTGGTTTAAATTGTTTCCAGCATTTAAGATTAAAAAAAATCCTAGTTAATTTTTTCATTGAAGCATTTGAAGCTGGTTTTCATTGTTCTCTCCCCTGAAAAGTCTGACTTAAATTTGCTCTCATTATTCACTAAAAAAATTCCTAATCTATCAAAAGGGAAGAGTTACATTTGACTGCTATTGTATGAAGGACAGGTATTCATCATCTCAGTTTAAAATTACACATTATGAACATAAAGCTTAACTGCTTTGAACAAGTACAGTTGTTTGATGCAAGCACAGAGACCAGACTTAAACTGCCAGAATTAATTTGTTTTCTTACAAGAGTAATACTGTTCTCACATGCTACTTGCCTGGAGGGGCGATTCCTAACTGTCTTAGTTTAGGCTGAAATAGAGTTAATATTCCTTTTCAGAGACTAGATGAGTGCTGTGTTTTGGATTTAGCTTTGAGTTTGGTGTGAGAAGAATGCTGACAGCACACTGATGTTTTCAGCTGCTGCTGAGACTTCAAGGACTCTCCGACTCCCCACGTCCTGCCCGTGCGCCAGGGCACAGGGAGCAGGGAGGGAGCACGGCCAGAGCACCAGACCCAAACTGGCCAGTGAAATATTCCATATCATGGCACGTCATGCTCACTGTATAGAGGAGGGGTGGTCGGGAAGGGGCTCTCTCTCTCTCTCGCTTCCGGGATTGCGATTGTGGGATCTTGGTATCTCGGGGTCGCTGGCCGGGAACGGGCTGGGGATTGGTCAGCGGGTGGTGAGCAATTACGCTGTACATTGCCTGTTTATATATTTCTTTTTGTTTTCCCCCCATCATCATCATTGTTCTCGTTTTATTGCCATTATTAAACTGTTCTTATCTCAGCCTGCAGGTCTCCCTTCACCCCTCTAATTCCCTCCCCCATTCCCAGGTGGGGAGGGGGAAGGGAGGGTAATTAGCTGTGGGGGTTGGTTGCTGATCAGGCCCAAACCACAACACTAACTCAAATAATTCTGTGCTGGGGAGGTACCTTCAAGGGAGAGAGAAATCTTCATTTAAATTGTGTTGACTTCCACAGCCACTTTTATAATCTCAAGGCTGCCATTGTCTGAACAGCTGCTGCTGTACTCCGATTCTACAGAATGAGATTGCTTTATGGGTCTGCACTTGCACCACTGTCCTTCTAAACCTGTAGCCACAGAGTGAACTTTCTTAGAGGTCAGAATACTGACCTCCTTCGTAGGGCTCAATAAAATAAAAATTGGGAAATCAGATAATTGCTTTTTGCTCTCCGTGCTGAGGCTGAGGCCTTTACAGACTCTAGTACTAACATTTTGATTAGCAGTTTCCAGCACACAGTAAAATCTAAAGCACTTACTGAATATGTTGATTTCTTCTTCATTATACTCATACAGATAGAGTAATATTCTCACAACATATAGAATATAGCTAAAATGCTTTATGGAAACTATTGCACAAATCCTCAAGGTATTAATTGCTTAACTCTCACTGGTTTCCTTAATGCATTTTTACTATGTGATGTGTGTGGAATCGTTCTAGATCTGAGAGATATATTAAAGTAAATTTCCAATATATGTCCTTCATTTGAACACTGCATATCACCTGCTTTCATAACTTTTGAATGCTATAATTTGAACCAAATAATCAGATTTTCATGCATAAATGAGTAATCTTCCAGAACTCTACCTGTTGTAGTTCTAAATACTATTATAATTTTGAATAATATATCTAAGTGAAATTTAGACTTCTCTTTTCCATAATGTAGTCAAAAGTCTCTTGCTTTATTTGTTCTAGCTTACTGTAAGATTTTAACATTGAAACCTTACTGATTTTTCAAGAACACTGCTAAGAGTAAATTTAAAGGCACTATGAGAAATATTGTTCTTGTGAAGAATTTTTTAAATCTGATAACTATGCCACTTTGTTGTAATGAAAGCTGAATATGATCTGCTGCTCCTAAGAAGATATCACAGATGTACTGGAAAGAGCTGCTGACATGAAGGCTGAAGTGAGGAATGAAGATTGCAGGGTGTCCTGGAGTAAGAGATAGAACTAGAGAGAACTACAAAAGTCATAGGGGGAAGAGGGAATTATTTACATGATTTAAGTAGATGTTACAAGTAGGTGTATCAAGAAGAGTAAGACCCAAGGGAATCCTGGTGTAAAAAAGTAACCAACATCTTGAAGAGAGACTTCAAAGTAAGAATAATTTTGTAATTAAAGTGGGATATTTCTTTTATTGAATTTATCACCCCAGAGGGAATGAGACTATTTGATCATACAGTTGTGTGTGTGTTATCATTCTTCTATCCACCTTCTCCCCTGCCAAAAAAAAAAGTTATCAGGTGCTGAGTTATCAGGTGCTCAGTTGCCAGTGAAATAGAATTAGCAATTCCATATTTCAGCACAACATCGTTGGCACACCAACCTAAAAAGGAATATTGTAGAGCATATGTTACTTAATTTTCCATTTTGTTTCCTGGGTAAATGAAAAA